TATATATATACAGAACAGCATTTATTTGAAATAGAAATATTTTGTAGCATCATAAATGTCACTTTTGACCAATTCCATTCCTTGTTGAATAAAAAAGGGGAAAGGGAGGGAGAGATATATTTAAAACCGGTTTCCTCCTCAGTAAAAAAAAATATAGTTTTGTCATTCATGCAGTTTCATTTTTTCATTCTGTGTGAAGTGTCATTATGGTCTCCGTGTTGAAATGACACATGAGTTTGAATTCCTGTACTTTTGAGCATCAGCGCATGCAGGTCATCTGTCACCTACTGTATCATAAATACTGAGCATTCTGACATCCTATTCATCTGACATACTGATTTGTGCATTTTAAGATGCTAGTTTTATTCCTGTAACTCAATCCCTGCCATTTCGGTAATTGCAACATGACATACGTAGAATTAGCTCACCTTTAAATCACAGAGACTTCAAGAAACTCAAGAAACATGCATGTGCAATCTATGCTATAAATATTTGTACATTTCCAGTTACATAGTAGAAACCCTGTGCTTATGTGTGATGTAATCTAACATCTAACTAAAGTAACAGCCAAATCTTTTCACAAGTCAACAATTTGTGTGTGGAGAGAATAATGCTGACCTCTACTGGCAATTAAGCGTCACTACATGAACTCTAGGATCATGTTCTTGTGCTACACATCAGTATCTACAGACTGCAATGGATTTCTATTTTTTTTTATTTTTTCCAGTCTACAGCAGTTTACAAGCGTAGTATCAAAGAAAAATCGGTAACAAATAAGGCTGTATCAGAATGCAAAAATATGGAAACTAATTTCTGTCACAATAAGAAAAAAAGGTAAATTATAATTGACATAAATAGTTACAATTATCAGATAAAAAGTCAAAATTCTGAGATAAAAATCTTTAACTGATGACACTTACGTCTACATTTTGTCAGTTTCGAATTTATGACTCGTAATTTAGACTTTCTAATTTCATAATTATGACATGGTATGCCATGTTTTTAACTCTATTTGTTATAAAGTAAATTTTTTTATTTCATTTTTTGGCTTTAATAATTTCGACTTTAATTTTCTTTGAATGACACAAAAAAATTCGATGTAAGCATAAAGTAAAAAGTAATGCCAAAGTTTCCTGAATTACTAATAGAAATTAAAAAAAAAAAAAAAAAACATTTTTTAAATAAAATATTTAATATACTTATGCCAAAAAAACGTAAAGAAATTGAAAACACGAGACAGAAACTGAAATGACACACATTCAAATCATTGTCTCTATGAATTGCATTGTTAATGTATTTTTGAATTGCGTAAATCCGGATAAAATGAGCATCATGTCACTAGTCTCTATGCTTGTATCTCTGTCAGTTACAGTCTGTTCTGTCCTACTGCTATTTAATCTCCTCCCTTGAAAGTCACTGTATCCTGTGTCCTATCTCTCTGTCCCTCCCCCTCCATCCCTCTTCTCATCCCAGCTGCAGTCTCTCTCCTCCGCTGGCATCGGCACGAGTCGTGTAGAATCAGGCCGGACGATGCAGGACTGTCTGCTCAGGTACAGTATTCAGCCTGATCTCTCATCTGCTTTATCTCCCTCAAACAGCTGCATGCTCCTCCTTTATCATTGGCTGATACACTGTAAGAGCGCTGTGCTGCTTCTGTTCACTTTTGCTGTGTCTGTGGCCTTGATGTCTTCAATACTGTGCTTTTACCAGGAGTAAAGACACTTTGCTTTAGCAGCATGTTTTTACTCTGGTCTCTGGTCTGAGATAAGGTCTTATAGGACAGATTAAGTAACTTGTAACTTTTTGAAGCGTTGTGGAGCTCTGAGGGAATTGGTTTTCATAATAATAAGAATATGCCATAATTAATACATAATGTTATGTTCTCTTTGCATGTGAGCAGTTTGAACGGTCAGTTTAGCATGAATGTTAATTACTTATACTTATTTATTTATTATTATAAGGGTGTGAATGTCAGTTATAAGAAGCACAACATATTGGTAACCTATAATCATCAATACTGGACTATAATTGTATATGATCAGAAATAGTTTATATTATAAATTATTATTATTATTATTATCATCATCACTGTTATTAGTCTGATTAGGGTGATATTAGAAGCATATGATATTTTTTTTTGCAATGTTTGCTACTGTATATTATAATGCCATTGTATTTTATAATTGTAGATTAGAAATACAAAACATATATTATGTATATGCTGGACAATATTGTTTATTATTACTACCTTTCCTATTATTATTATTATACTAATACTATTATTATTAGTCTGATTAGGGTGATATTAGAAGCAGATTATATCATTTTTGTATATATTATATAAATAATATAAATTATTATACATTTATTATAAATACAAATAGTATATTATAATACCATTGTATATTAAAATTGTAGATTAGTAGTACAATATTGTGTACTGGACAATATTGTTTACACACACACACACACACACACACACACACACACACACACACACACTATATGTATTGTATTGTGATTTATATATATACAGTGTTGGTATTAATACTATTATTAGTGTATTCAGATAGATGTACTCAAATTAAAGTGTGTTTTCAGAAACACATTTTTATTTTATTTCTATAGAATTTATAAGTAGATGTAGGTTCTAACTGTCAACACATGCAGTTGGAGAATGAGCAGATGGCTGGTAGGGCTACATAGTTTTAATGAAATTGAATGTAAATGAATCATCACATCAGTAATGCTCTGATATGGTTCTGGAGGCTCATGGCCACATGTCGATCGATAACTCTGCTGGATAGGAAGGGTGGGGGACATGCGGAGTGCTAAGTGGTCTGATTTGGTCATAAGTCAGAATGCTTACTCATCTCTTTGTGCTCATCTGAGTGGGACAGTATGTCGTCTGGCCTCTAGTGCTTTCAGTGGGGAAATTCAATACTTATATATATTGATCTTCTTGTGCAGCATGAAACAATCTGTTGAGAGCACAGACATCACTGGATGGATCTCACAAATCCTGTCAAGAACATAAGATCATATTTCTGCCCCCAAATAAATTGGGTATAAGGGATGTACAATATGGTCATGCAGAATAAGGCATTGCCTGTGCTTTATAAGCAGTAATAAACAGCCAATATGCTAGTAATATGCATGCTAATAAGCAACTATAGTGAATATTCCCTAATCTAAAGTTTTACAATGTCTGTGCATGCGTGTGTGTATGAGTGTATTGTATGTACACTACTCTACAGTGCATAAGTTTGGTGTCAGTAAAATTTTATGTTTTTGAAGAAGTCTCTTCACCAAGGCTGCATTTATCTAAAAAATACAGCATACATAAAACACAGTATTGATATTGTGAAATAGTATTACAAATATAATTATCTTCCATTTGACTATATCTAAAATGTTATTTATTTCTTTGATGCAAAGCTGAATTTTCAGCATCATTACTCCAGTCTTCAGTGTCACATGATCCTTCAGAAATCAGTATAATATGAAGAAACATTTCTTTTTATTATCAATCATAAAAACAGTTGAGCTGCTTCATATTATTGTGGAAATATTTGATGAATAGAATGTTTAAAAAAATCATTTATTTGAAATAGAAATCTTTTGAAACAATATAAAAGTCTTTATTGGTGCTTTTGATCAATTTATGCATCCCTGCTGAAGAAAAGTATAATTTATAAAAAAAAAAACCATCTAATTGACTTACTGTATGTTCGATATGACTGTTTATCCCTGCAGCCTGCACATCTTATTTTTGATGAAATTGAGTTTTATAACTACTATTTTGAAATTACAAATGGTAAAGAATAGAAATTGCAACTGCGGTTAATTCTAAAACAAATAATCCATTAATACTTAATCAGGGGCAGAAATAAGTAAACATTATAGGCTACTATTCTATAATTGGGTATATTCTTATCCTTTTTTTCACTGTGAAGATGTATTCTCAGTGTGTTTAGATTCATCAGTTCTTCCTGTATCCCGTCTCAGGACACGCATGATCCCAGTGAGGGATGAGGAGGCAGAGTCTCAGAGGAAGGCCAAATCACGGCAGGCCAGACAGACTCGACGAGCTACACAGGTATGATGTACATTGTTTTTTTTTTGTTTTTTTTATTGCAATTTTTAGAACAAAGAACATATAAGGGCAATAAAATTTAAACTGAATGAAAACAAATACTTAAAATAAATAAATTAAAACTAAATAAGAAAAGCAATAAAAAAAACCTCACGTCTGTAAACAAGTACAAATAATTACAAATTATTCAAAGAATAGATTTAAGGCTTTATTAGTTGTCATATCAATTACCTTGTTGTCAATTGCATTATTAAATTGTTTACTCGTTTACTTAATATAAAATGATAACATTTAATTTTGTTCTGTGATTTCTCCTGCCAGCTCGTTTCCAAGTATAGGCCTACATAATGTTAAACAAGACTTCACTTTAAACCTAAAAGGGTTAGTTCACCCAAAAATGAAAATTCTGTCATTAATTACTCGGAATCTGAGAGCTTTCTGACTCTCCCATAGACAGCAATACAACTGAAATGTAGTCCAGAAACGTAGCAAGGAGATTGGTAAAATAATCCATGTGACATAAGTGGTTCATCCGCAATTATACGAAGCTACGAGAATTCTTTTTGTGCGCAAAAGAAAAAAAAAAAAACGACTTTATTCAACAATTCGTCTTCTCCGCATCACCCTGGTGCCATTTTGGAGAGTATCTGCTGGACGTAAACGTTCGTATGCTGTTCTGTCAGCTGCATACACAGAACAGCATACGCTGTTTTACGTCCAGCTGATACTCTCCAAAATGGCACCAGGGTGATGCGGAGGAGACGAATATGGCAGGATAATCGAACGCTCATTGGCTCTCGCCTGCATTCGTCACAGCTTGCGACATGCCGTGTTTCTGGTGAGGTGTGTTTGAATGATGCACGCGTGTCTTCACGAGTTAATTGTAAAATGGGTAAGTTTAGGTTTGGGAGTAGGTTAAGGGGTCTAAAATCTAAATTGCTTATTGATACAATTATAAAAATGCATTGATACGAATATCTTAATGATACAAAAGATACGTAAATATTTTTACGTTTTTTAGCTGAAAATACGTAGTGATTTGTACGTTTTAAACGTTGAAATACGTCTAAATTGTACGTTTTAGCATCAATAAAAACGTACAAAAGTGTACGTTTTGTGCTTGTAACTGTTACGTATTAATTCAATATTACGTATTAATACCTACGTATAAACATGAGACCAGGCTGCATAGACACAGTCAAAATCACAAAACACAGGAAAGGAAGAATATGACTCTTCTGTATGCTCTGATTAGACTGGATTACATATTCTGTAAAATAAGGGTTAATGTGTAGTCAGCTAGTAATTATCATAAAATGACCCAGGACATGGCCTCAATTTCAAAGCTTAAAGGGATAGTTCACCCAAAAATGAAAATTCTGTCATTAATTACTCACCCTCATGTCGTTCCAAACCCATAAGACCTTCGTTCATCTTCAGAACACAAATGAAGATATTTTTTTACATAGTAAGGACATCGGTAAAATAGTCCATGTGACATCAGGGGTTCAACCGTAATTTTACGAAGCTACGAGAATACTTTACAATAGGCTAATAACATAATTTATTCAGCAATTCTTCTCCCCAAATTACCGTCTTCTGCCATTTTGTAGAACGTAATCAACGTAATCAGTGTTGTTTACGTTCAGCAGACAGAGCGTGCATGCTGAACGTAAACAACTCTGATTACGTTGATTACGTTCTGGGGTAGGGGAGCGCGGGGCACAAAGTAACGCGGGGTTAGTTGTAACACACGTGGTTTGAATAT